GCTTGAACAAAATAGGTTGTACACAAAAAAAAACAATAAAAGCACAGAAATACATTATACAGTATGTTGTCAGGCTGATGTACAATATAGTCTGCACGTATTGTCATTTTATGCGAGCGTTTAGATATTAAAGATTTATTTAAAGCGGTATTGAATATTATTCCGAAGAATACGTTCAAAGAGGGAGACTGGTACGGCGGTGTTAAATATTTAAGTCCTATATGCAATGTAATTAATTGGATGAAATGGGAACCATACCATATGTTATTCCATTTCTGGATTTGTAAAACATAACTTGAAATAAATGAATGCTTAAAGAACCAAAGCATCACAAATATATAGACCAAAAAAAAAGTAATAAGAAAGAAATGAAAAGAATAGACAAAGTCAATTGTTAAGGACCTTCAGACCTTCAGACCAACATGTTTGTACATAAGGTACATTTACAGATAAATTCGCGTAAGATTCAATAATTCATGTTACATTTGTAATAGCAAAGTCACACGCTGTTCATTTCTATTGTAAAAAAGTGTTTGAAGTTATATAAGACTTCCTTATTCATACCTAACATTTTTTTATTTTATATCTTGATCTCTAGAGAATGTGTATCTCACGTATCTACATGATATATAAATTGAGCCGCGTCACGACAAAACCAACATAGTGGGTTTGCGACCACCATGGATCCAGACCAGCCTGCGCATCCGCGCATTCTGATCAGGATCCATGCTGTTCGCTTACAAACTCTATAACAAGTAGAGAAACTGATAGCGAACAGTATGGATCCTGATCAGACTGCGCGGATGCGCAGGCTGGTCTGGATCTATGCTGGTCGCAAACCCATTATGTTGGTTTTGTCGTGACGCGGCTCAATTTCATCTAGTGTAGCTGGATCCATGCTGGTCGCAAACCCATTATTTTGGTTTTGTCGTAACGCGGCTCAATTTAATCTAGTGTAGCTTATTAGTTATTACTATTAAAGCTGCATACCTCCAGATGAGAAAACATGTACCAAGATTGTAAGAAAATAAAACTATTCACAATTCGAGATATAATCTGCATGATATATGATTTTGCAGTTTTTATCATCATATTTGTACTGCGTGACTAACGCAGTAAGGGTTAGTTTTACATATATTGTGATATATTTGGTAGATCGGGAGATTTTAAGTGGTGTTTGCAATGAGTAAATCACATTTTTAAGTTCACTTGAAAATGTTTTACTTTTTTATTAAATTTTGAAAATTTTAATGAAAATTGTGAATCTGGAGACATGCTGTTGTAATAATTGTAATTTATGTAATACCATTTTTGCAAATATTAAGTAAAGTTTTCGATTATGTGCATTTATCTTTAATAATACCCAAGTTCTTAAGATATCATAACCCTCACTGAAAATGTAAAAAACAACAACAACAACAACATAAACTGGAACCCGATTACATTAAAAGAAGAAAAAACTATTCCATAATCTTGTTTTTATCTAATCACTTGTACGTATAAAAATGGTACATACGTTTTTCATACCCCCTCCCCCCTATAAATAGAAACGTTAAATGCAATGTAATCAAACAAATGTTGCGACAATATGCGAAAATATGCAGAAGATTTCATTCACATTTAAACTCGTCATAATGCATAACTATTCAAACAATGCAAATCTAAAACATTGCATGTACAATGGCGACAAAAACGGTCCCTAAAACAACAATACCTTTAAAAGTCCAACAACAAATGACATTCTTTACTGCAGGAGCAAATTCTCGAAGCGAAAGTAAACACTATAATCTGATAAATCAGTATTATTTTGTAAGATTGTATTTAAATTAAATCGAACCAGTGTATAATGATGTTATTTCAACATAGAATAGCTACTATACGAGCAAATCTATTTAAATAATTATTTACTGAACGTCAAATTGTTTGGTTATCATCATATTTATGCCCCAGCGCTCAAATATTTGTTTATTCCAACCATTTAACATGATTTATTAATTTATCATTGGTTTAGATAACAATAAAGTAAAGAAGTTAAAATCGGACGAGCATTTCACAATATTTGTACTGTGAATTATTCAAATATTGTCGTGTGTATTAAGACCTAAATTTTGATAAATGTGTGTCAACACAACAAAACCAAAATTTCCCAGAGTCTTCAATAGAACATTCAATACACAACACGTGGTCATGCATGTGGCATGTAATTGTTAAAGTAATTTAAAAGCAACAAACTTTTAAAATAGGAACAAGACCTGTGTGGATTATGTCCTTTACCTTTGCGGACATCTTATACGTCATTTAAATGAATGAGTCGGCGACATTCTGGATATATAAGGTTACAGTTTAAGAATGAAAATACGTTTGTATATTTTCAAATACATTAAAAGATGCGTTTAAATACCTTTTTGAATTACACTATGATAAAATAAACACAACAATCGTTTTGGATTATCTTTTATGCGGAATGCTTTCATTTTCTGCTAGATTTCTAGATTGCAGTTTTCTGTTAAAATATGCTGAGGTAATATTATTAAGAAAAGAATGATTTGTTTCAATTTTTGTCTTGATCTTAAAAAGCCTGATTTTTATTTTCGTGTCAGTTTGTATATTATAAGTACTAATGTACTGGAAAATAGAGTTTTATCGTTTGTTTAAATTTACCGTGTATGTAGCGTAGTATGTCCATTCATTTGAAATATTTTTAAGAAATAATATTGCATAAACCAGAATATTAAAAGTTCAATTAACCTTAATGTTATATAATAATAATAATTGTAATAATTATACATGTATATGTATGTTATGATGATGGGTGTTGAGCCCAAGTCAGAAATAAAGTATATGTTCTGTTCTGTTCTATAAACTCAATGAAAAATATATAAAGGACACCCATTAGCAATGAAAATATTCAATGAAACCTTTTAATAAAAAGTGACACAATCTGCGGATGAATCTATTCCGGATAATTGCGTAACATTTTTTTTCACAGACTAGATATTACTTTTTCTTTGTATTAAGAGTATGAATTTTTATGTTTTCTACGTTTATCGTAGACCATGGTCACCGGTTTTGTTTTATAGTCTGACCTGCAATTTACACTGAAAGTGAACCTATGGAAATTCTAGACGATTGAAATACTAGCCAGCTCGTATTGTACCCTTAACTGATGTATTTACAATACGAGTTCCGAACACACAATTGTTCTTTAGCAAACGCTGACAAATAAAACCATTTACTGCAATAAGCGTTGGAGGATCAGAAATAAAGAGTACAGATTCGAGTAACGGGGGTTTTCAATAAAAGCATTGATTTGTACTGCACTTGGTTGAAAGATGACAATCAGACAATCTATACCATTCCCCCTCTCTTTTCCTATATCCCTATTCTCATTTATTGAATGGTTTAAGTAAAGTGTTTCAAGTTATGTTCTGTTTAAATCTACGTATATAATTACACGGAGCTTAATTAAAAAAGGTCAAAAAAGCCGTGACGATAAGGTATTTTATTATTTGTATACTTTTAAATGCAGAGAGTAATCGGGTTCTTCTTAATCGTAATTACTTTTTTGTTATTGTGTATGATTTAATATTAAAACCGTCTGTTAATCTATGACACCGTGTAAAAGTACATTTTGAAAAATGCATGATTACTATAGAAATATGAAAAAAAACAAATAAATGTATATTTTAAAAAAAGATAACACTTTGATATCTTAAGTGTTTATTTTGTTAACAATATATTTATAAGCTTTATATGGGCTTTTTGTTTGTAGAACTTTTTTTTTCGGTTTGATTTATTTAGTTCTAAATAAACAGGAAGTAAACAGACATAAACACATTTGACTTAAAATTTATATACAAAAGCGAATGTCCTGTTTCTGTATAATGAGAGAGATGTATTTTGACTTAAACTTGCCGGTGTCGTAATAATTAAATATTGTGATATTTGCTTCGACATAATAACATGTATGAATTTTGATATACATTTAACAGCATAAACACGGTTGAAATACTTTAAACAGTTTAAACATTTAGAGGCCGAGGTCCATCTTGTATCAGTAGAACGTTTAATCTGATAATTTCATCTCTTACATTAAGATATACAACATTTGTAAATGGAGATAATTTTTGTATGTGTACCGTATACATGTATGTATTTATGATATACACTACAATAAGCTTTACAGCTAAATGCTATAATAAAATAGCTGTCAACTTTGTGAATGAAAGACATATACAGAATATAGCATTGATACGATATATTTTTTATTAATGTTTTAATTGTACCGCTTCTTTTCTCTTCTTTTTTAATCTAACGAACTGTGGAGGAATCATTTCTCTTTAAGGAATATTAGAAATATTTATATATTTTCGCTCTTTTATGGGTGTTGTATATAAAAAAATACATGATTCAATTTAGTGTTAAATAGAACATTTAAGGAATCTTATACGTTAGGTCGGATAGGCCCTGTGTTAAAGTTTTTTGGTTTAATAACTACAAGTTAATTTTCTAACTGATAGGTAACTTAAATTGAATGAAATCTAGATGTATATAGTGTTTCATTTTTGTTCAAAGACATAATTATGTCTTCCGACCATACCCTTTCCATTAAAAAAGGTTAGCGATCATGATATTTATTAGTCACTGGGTAAATTTAGAAAAACACCCACTATAAGTCAAAACCTGGGACACGCGACATATGAAACGTGTAAAATGCATTATTGTACATGAATTTCGCAACCTAAGTTTATGTTTAAAAGAGACCATGTGATTGGCTATTATAAATTGGAACCGATGAAGCGACTGTTTGCTTACAACGTTTTGTTTTCATAGGAATAGTAAAAGCAGAACAATTCGCCATCAAACCCAAATACAGTATTGGTAAAGGCGTTATAAAGAGGCGGGTCTATAATCCGCGCGCGCAATCAACGCGCAATCGGCAACGGGGTAGGCGGAGACTAATTTAATCTCCCGTTGCTTTTACCTGTTTTCTTTCCTATCTTAGGTATATTTACCCAGGAACTTGGTTCAACATACTAGTCAAACTTTGTTCAGACAATCGTTTGTGTGCTTTTGAGACAATTGAAGGACTTTTAAATATATCAGAGATCTAATATTTGTGTTTACTTGTGTTTTAGTGAGTAACAGTAAAACTGGCATCTATGTACGACAAACAACCGACGGGAGCGGAATATCCGCCGGCGGGGGACTATTTAACGATGCTGTCAAAGTCCTCATACGATCCTGTCAAAACAGCTTACGATCCGACAGGGTACCCAATGTCTAGTGTAGCCAGTATGAACTCTATGGGTGGAATGAGCGGCATGGGCTCGATCGGATCTATGGGCATGAACAACATGAACTATTCATCACAGGCGATATCGGGTATGGGAGCGCCTCACGGGTATGGGATGAGCATGGCGCCGGCCGTCGGCATGCACACTGGCATGTACGGCAGTATGAACACTATGAATACAAATGGACATATGAGCGGGATGACCAGTCCAGTGCCTATGAATGGAATGTCAGATCCCATCTCACCAATGCGAATGGACTTAAATCGGGCACAGGCTATCAACAGGGCACGAGAAAAGACATATCGAAGGAGTTACACGCATGCTAAACCACCGTATTCTTATATTTCACTTATCACCATGGCGATTCAACAGTCTCCAAACAAAATGTGTACGTTAAGTGAAGTTTATCAATTCATAATGGACTTATTCCCGTTCTACAGGCAAAATCAGCAACGGTGGCAGAACTCTATACGTCATAGTTTGTCATTTAATGACTGTTTTGTGAAAGTACCCCGCACTCCCGACAGGCCGGGGAAAGGTAGTTACTGGACCTTACATCCTGACTCTGGTAATATGTTTGAAAACGGTTGTTATCTTAGGCGTCAGAAACGGTTCAAATGTTTAAAGAAGGAAGACCTACGATCAAAAGGTCTAGGGGATGATAGTGGCGATGAAGGGCATTCAGGGGATGAAGGAGATAGTGTCTCACAACCTGGGTCACCAGAAGATCACCACGCACAAACCCACCAACAGCTTCAACCGCCCCCACAGCAACAGCCACCCCCACAGCATCACATGGCGGGTCAGCTAGAACCTTTACCTAACAAAACTGAACCAAACCCAGTCGGAACCCCAACATCAGGATCAACGCCGGGGCCGGACCTTCGGCAGTTACAGCATCAACACCACGACGTGATGTCTTTAGGGCACGGATATCCAGGTGTAAATCCAGCGCACTCGTTTAATCACCCATTCTCAATAAACAGTCTAATTACAGATAATGCAAAAATGGACAAACTTTATGAAATGCACGGAATGTACCCGGGCTATAATAATATGCACCCGATGCAGATTCCGACGAAAGTTGAAGGCCCTGGAATGGCCCCCGACGGAGGATATTACAAAACTTATACTCCACATAGCACTGCGAGTCTATGAGCATTTTAGGACTCTTAATAGATACGCAAAAGTGACAAAAATGTGACATTCACTTAAGCTGAAACCAAAGATGTGTTTTTATCAGGAAACCGTGTTTTGTGACCATGTAAGTCGTACTTTTACAGGTTTTTACATCCCCGTCAATTCACCTCAAGATTATGAATTTAAAACTTCATTTTTTTCTAAAGATAAGAGAGAACGCGGATCTTTAATATAACTTGTCTGCTTAAAGCTATTGCGCGGTCTCTAGTGGGCCAATTTCAATGCGTTTACAACTTGTCATGAGCGGGTGAAATATATTTGAAACCTTAGATGTACTACTTTGTTAATGGATCGAATTTACCTGTGTTCATATTTCATCAAAGATTTTACAACGTCTCTCATAAGTTTCAAACTCACAAACAATTAGGCGAAATCTGGTTGAAGGACATAACGCCTTGAATGGGACTATGTATTCATTATTTCGCCCCATTATTATTCGTACTCAACACTACTTAGCTGTCATTTTTGACAAGTTTATTCCAATTTGTACATTTCTTTCTTCCATTTTCGGTGTTTTTTTCCATGTTAATTTATTTTTAGAGTAGAATTTTTGCTCAAGATTTTAGTATAATCAAATAGCGCAGATAATCGTTTTTTTTTCTTTATTTGTAATTTAATAAATAAATGTAACTTTAGATAAATTTAAGTTACACGGTTATTTCTCTTTTTTTCACGGCATTTTATGCCTTGTGAATCTGTTTAACTTTTGTATAGGTTATCAAATGTTTTAGTAATTATATGTACGGGACGGGCAAAAATCTGTCTGTCTGTGATTCTATATAAGTTGCTTTTATTTTATTTTTGTACACATACTGTAAAGGTTATTTTTTTGATCTGTCGGTTTATAGATATTAAAATTTATGAAATATGAATATTTTCTATTTTGTTTTTATTTTATACATGAAAACAATGCAAAAATTCCTAGTACATGTTTAGTAGAATGTTCCAATTTAATTTATTGAAGTATTTTACTAACTTTACTATAAGGAAAAAAATATGATTTTATAAAAGCTGCATAAATTTCTATAGAAATATTTTGCTTTTTGTTAATAAAATATATATCATAAAGATATATATTTTACAAAAACATATCCCGGTTTGTTTGACATTTATTTTGATATCTTTGATATCGCGCATTTATACATTTAAAAAATACTGAAAAAATATTTTTTCTTTCATTATAATTAAAGGGAAAAAGGTTTCTGCTCAGATATTTTCATAGATCTTTCTGCAGCTTTAAAAAAATCATCTGTTATTTACAAGAACATGTTATGTTGAAAAAACATGAAAAATATCAAAAACAATTCTTTACTTCAGTGAAAATGATCCTGAACTCGTTTAAAAACAATGGTCATTAATTAAAACAAAAGTAATTATAGAAGTTATATTACAAGTGACAAAATATGTTGCACAGTTCATTCTTTATATCAGATATAAATGGGATATAATTGATAGAATAGAGTACATATATAGGGCAAAGCCCTTATTCAATCATTATTCATTAATTGAATTGTTTATTTAAACTAAAATTTAATCTTGCCAAACATTGCACTCACTTTAAGATAAACGTACTTTTGTATGTAAAGCGGTCTGTGTCGGGGAAAACATTTAGATGGAATAACTCAATCTTATATTTATTTCTATAAAAACGGAACTTATATATTGAAGGTGTCTGCATTTTAGTGACATTGATAATAAATATTAGGTAATTGTAATTAAGAAAATTATGATTTTACCTTTAAAAAGGTTTAATTGAGAAAAAAAAACTGTAGAATAAACTATATAGTTGATTTATATCAAGGAAATAAATATGTGCAAAAATGTTATACTATCTCAGTATAATAAAATTGTTGAAATTTTCTGTAGATAACTGGTTTTTATTTTTACAGAATTTTTAAACACTAAGGAAAAAAAACGGCCAAGATAAGACAATCAAAGCTCTAAGATAATTGTAACAATTAACTTTAAATTCAAAACAAGACAAAGTTTTATACATAGATATATGTATTATGCCGATTTGTAACTAGCCCAGTCTAAAATCTGTCCCGGTATCACGTTGCTACGAGCCGTACGCTAGGGTACTCGGAGTTTTAAGATAACACAATGATAAAATCCTAGTTACCGGCCAACGGTGGATTTTAGAGGTGACGGAAATCCCCGTTTAGCCTATTTTGCCTTGGCCCCTATCAAGGGCTTAAGTAAAAGATGGCAATTTCATAATTACTGAAGTGTTATAATCCAGTTTCACAGGGATTCCTTGGATTTGACATTTTCCGTTATGTTACTATGCATTGGAAATCATAGTGTTATAATTACTTTAATTTCACTGTTTTTGGAATTATTCATGTACGATGTATTGCCAACTATAATTTTGTAATTTTGCTCTGTTTCTGTATGGAAAAAATAGAATCTAAAATCACATTTAAGCCGCATTCACTGAAATAGTTAATTAACAAAAAAGCTAACGTTTGGAATTAAGAAATAATATATTATAATTTTTTTAGTTGATAAACAAAATAGTTTTTAATGGGAAAAAATATGTACAAAAACGAGCTGTCGTATAAACAGATATAAATCGACGTTTGATAGCATAATGATTGCAGGAATAATATTTACAAATAAATAAGCTTTCAAGCTTTCACATTAAACTGTAGCCGGAAAAAAATGATCTAAGTTTCCGTTATAAATTTATAAAAAAAATCTAATCTAAACGAAATGACGGATAAAGTAGGGATTGTCTTTATCCAAGAACTAAGGCATTTTAAAGCACGCCCTACACAATTTCATCAAAAATCGCCGACATGTGATTAGTTATAAAACTATTTTGCATTTCCTTTGTAGTTCCCAGTTGCATTACAATTCTAAAATGTCACTGTAAAAACAGTGTCTATCTATAGGTGGCTATCATCTCTTTGCTAATTAATTTATAAAGGCTATAAAAGTGGCATTTCTGTAGCAATTGACGATTATTATTGTACAATTAAACCAATATTTCTCCAAATGGGATTTCCTTAATCTTGATAACAACAACAATTACAAAAATCGACAAAAATCTGGATAAATGTGTAATGTTTTTACAAATCATTGTCGCTTTTCAAAATTCTATTATACTTTCATAATGGCCGTTTGCACAGATGATAAGCACCAATGTAAATCTTTTGATTGTCTTTAAACGGAATTTGTTATGCTGGGATTAAGACAAAATAGGATTTAGATGCGTCTCATCCATTTAGTTATTGATACTGTCTTTAATCCAACACATTTCTTTTTCGTGTTTCTTTAAGAGATTTATTTTCCTCTCTTTTTAGAAGGACAGTGATTCGCACAGGTGCTAGTTCTTACGAGCGTACCGTTAATATTTCTTGATTATGAAGATCCATGTTTGTGCATCTTTTAAGCGAAATAGATAGCCATGTTTACAAACATTCTATTAATAAAGAAAACATACTCCTACACCGAATTAACGTTATTTTAACCAGGGTTCAACTTTGATAGTAAATGTAGCACGACTGGAACTAATCACAGAAATTTGGATAAAAAAATCTCATTTTCTTCTGTTGCAACAAAAGACTCAAAAGATGCAATAATATGAATTTTAAAACTTAAGAAGAATATAAAATCAGCATTTTTGTCCTGCATATATAGCGTTTTAAACGACAGCGTTCGGTTAAAATTTAAGATGAAAAAACTATTAAAACTAAAACGCCTTGTCATAAAATGCAACAGTATAGAATTTGAAAATTTTTAACAAGATAAAGGAAAAAAAGTTCCCATGAAGACGTTTTGAAATTGTTGAAACTTCGAAATAAAAGAATATGGAAAATAACACGATTTAGTTTTATAAATTGACGTCTGAAAACGGCTGGTATCCTAAATAATAATTCAAGTATTATTTCAAAAACTGCGATCTTTTCATTTCAAAAACTTGTGAATTTTCAATGCTTCTATAGCGGAACCAATGTTGTAAGGGTTTTGGTTAACAATGAAACTATTCAGTTCTAGGTCCTCATAACAAAATTATTATATTACATACACAAGACGCTTACTAACTCTACGGTATAATTCTTATTTCAATGCATATTGAATTCTCAACACTCAAAGCGAATTCGAATGACCTTTGAAACATTTTTTCTTAAATAATTCTCACCTTCACGTAAAAACTAATTACAGGCGAGGTGTAAAAGCCTATTTTCGTATGGATTTTGAACTTTACAGTCTCAGTCGTATACAAAAACACAAGTCTACAATTAAAATTAAAATTTAAAAGTTATTTCCAATATGTAACAGCCAAAAATGTTTTGGAAAAAAATTAGATTACATGCTTTACAAGTGGTGAAGAAAAAAAGAGAAATGACTTTATTGAAAAATAAACTAAAATGCAGGCATCTTGTCTAAGTTTAAAAAAATCAAAGTTTTTAAGTGTGAGAAATATGCCCAATTACATAAACATATCTAGCCTTTGATCTTTTGGAATATTTTTTTTCTAATTTAAATATTCAAATTAACTTAAAAGAACTTTAATTCTAGAATGCATGTTATTAAAACACTGAGTAACCATAAATGCCAACGTCACTGCAACTTAATTTATTCTAAATGGAATTTAACTTGAGTTGAGTATCAAAATTTTTGGACAATACTGTAATTTGGCTGAGACATCGTTTATTCAAACATTATATGAGTAATAAATCGAAAAGAATTGTTGCTTTACATACATTTTTCAGATTCTCAGACGAAAAGAGCATGGCTTTTTAATCTCAAATTTATCGACATTTTCAAACGCTTAAAAAAGGTAGATAATTATACTCTTACAGTTGTATTTTAAATCAAATGAAATGGTAAAATAATCAATTGAAAATTATAGCAGCATAAACAAAATATATTTATCATACATAACGTTTATCATAGAATTATAAACAGGCGTTCAAAGCATTGCCTGACAGCCATTTCAGTCTGGCAAAGGGTATCGAAATTGATTGCAATGTTTGTCAAAGAAGGCCAGTAACTTTAAAAGAAATCAAGCACTAATTTTTGACCAGGTCTTTTTATTATTTTATAATAACATTATACCTTCTACCAAATCACAGCAGAGTTATGAATTTCGGTCACGGAACTAAATGGCTTTTCGAAATTTCACTATCATTATGGACTGGATAACAACATTGTTGCTGATTGGCCTTAAGATAGGACGATAACAAAATCTGATTTTTTTTCTTGTGATTCATTAACTTCCTTCAAACATCGTCATTTTAACCAGTTAATTGGATGAACATTATAACGTGCATTGTCACTTATCACGTGCGCGCCGTGACGTAATGCAGAAGGTCAACGTAATGATACGGGGACTTTTAAAAAAAAATATTATTTCCAAATCGATATCAAATAATCTTGATCTATTATTGTACAGATCACAGTGGATGTGATTTGACCACTAATACACTGACGAATTACATTTTTGTTTTGTTTTTGATTATTTTTTTCCCAAACTAAGACACATCTTTTCTTTTTTGGTATACAGACAAAATGGAAGCGACATAAATATACACAGATTTTTTTCTTTCCGAAATTTGTTCCGATTATGTTTTGTGCGAAATACAAAATGTTACAATTTTTCTGTCAATGTTTAACCCCGACTTTCTCGCCTCCCCCCTTTAGACAAAATAATCGTAATAATGAACAACCAATAATGACTAAATCGGTGGATAAATTGATCAATACTAATTAGTTAATAGATCAATAATTAATAACTAAATTGACAAAATTAAAAAAAATACGTTTTTAAATATTCTTGTTTAGTATTGACCAACAATAATACCAGAAAAGTAAATAGAAAATACCCCCAAAAACAATAAAGAACGTAGTTCTTTATTAGTTC